TCTGGGCCCCTGACTCTTTCTGCAGCCTTTATGCTGCTACGGTACTCCTTGGCTACTTTCAGCCACTCCCTTGATCTTCTGGTAGGAAAGATCTACACCTAGCCTTCTCGGACAATGGCGAAAAATCTCGGAGGTCCCGTTTGCAAATTGTGCACGTTAAAGATCCCTAACTGGTGGTCTAAAATCGATAAGAGTAGGCTTCGACAGCCACCCCGGCAAAACTCTAAATTTCCTACCAACTGAAAATGTTGTGTCCCGCGCGTTCATATGACCTTATGCAGTAGCGAACACCGTAAAACACTTAGATTCTACCAAAACAAAATCTCAGTTCATAATATTATTATTGCACCTTCCACAACGATCCCAAAGTCTCTCTCAATTCAAACTACTGTTTGTGTGTTCTCTAAAGTGCTACATCGGCGAATCGGTCAGTATTTCTGACTTCTGGAAGTTTCGGTCTCTGAACTAGGCGAGGGTAATCATGAATTACCACAGGACACAGTTCGGGACGGGAAGGCAAAGCAGAGCCTCGGCCGGAGAATACAGAGTACCCTACAAACCTGGTCAGATGCACCCAAGAGCTGCACCAATAAACGGACCCTTCTCTTCATCAGTAAGAGTCGTAGACTTTTTCAGTGCGTGAGAGAGAGAGAGAGAGAGAGAGAGTGTGTGTGTGTGTGTGTGTGTGTGTGTGTGTGTGTGTGTGTGTGTGTGTGTGTGTTGCAAAAGGGGAGTGGCTGTAGGAAGCGTTTTTCACATAATAATACGCTGTACATACCAATACCATGTTCACGCTAATCCAGTGTCGATGGGATGAGAGAGAGAGAGGGGGGGGGAGAGAGAGGGGGGGAGGGAGAGAGAGAGAGAGAGAGGGGGAGAGAGAGAGAGAGAGAGAGAGAGAGAGAGAGAGAGAGAGAGAGAGAGAGAGAGAGAGAGAGAGAGAGAGAGATTAGTAAGAAGAGTTTCACGACACTTTCAACACAAAACACAATAGGTTCATATGAGTGACGAAGATCAGAGGTGTTACGAGAGAGTAACAAACACAAAAAAGAGGAGGAGAGAGAACAATAGCTTTTTGGTTTTTTTAGGAAAGAAGGAGAAAACTATATCAGAGCACCCGCCAACCACCCACAGATATATATATATATATATATATATATATATATAGAGAGAGAGAGAGAGAGAGAGAGAGAGAGAGAGAGAGAGAGAGAGAGAGAGAGACAGAGAGAGAGAGACAGAGACAGAGAGAGAGAACGAGAGAGAGACAGAGACTGAGACAGACAGAGAGAGAATGACAGACAGATGGAAAGAGAGAGACGGACAAGACAGTGCATTATTTGAGTGACGGTTTTGTTGTTGTTATTTATCTTGTTTTATCTTCTTTTTCCTCTCTCAAGATCCCGACCCTCCCCCACATCGACAACAAAGGCGGGGTCCGGGACAGAGGCAAATGCAGCCGGAGTGGGTCTTGGACACCGGCATGGCAACAGAGGGACGTGGTGCTGAAGCGAATGATGAGGGAGTTCAGAAATAGTGAGTCTACACCGCCATTGTAATATTGTACACGATGTACTTTCTTTCTTTATTTCTTTCTTTCTTCTTCTTCTTCTTCTTCTTCTTCTTCTTCTTCTTCTTCTTCTTCTTCTTCTTCTTCTTCTTCTTCTTCGTCTTCTTCTTCTTTCACTTCCTCTTCCTCTTCCTCTTCTTCTTCTTCTTCTTCTTATTATTATTATTATTATTATTATTATTATTATTATTATCATCATCATATTTTTGGTAAGTGTTTTGTTTTGTTTGTTTGTTTTTTGTTTTTGTAAAGTGTTTTACCGCGCTCGCAACTGCATAAGGTCATATGAGCGCACGGGACACACCTAATATTTTCAGTTGGTAGGAAATTTTGAATTTTGCCCGGGTGGCGGCCGAAGCCTACTCCGAGAAGGCTAGAGATCTTTCCTACCAGAAGATCAGGTGTGTGGCAGAAAGACAGCAGTAAGGAGGAGCCAAGGAGTAGCAGTAGAAAGGCTGCAGAAAGAGTCAGGAGCCCAAGGGAGGGGGCAAAGGAGGTGATGGGGTGGGGACAGAAAGTGGAAATGAAAGCAGACAACAGAACATTGCTAGAGAGCAGGAAAGGAGGTGAAAGGAGACAATTTTAGAGAAGAAAATTTTTCGGTCGCCACCCGGATTCGAACCCGGGACCTTTTGAATGAGAGGCCAACACCTTAACCTCTAGGCCACGAGAGCCCCCCGGTAAGTGTTTTACAGCGCTCGCAGTGGAATAGGGTCAAATGAGCGGCCGGAACACAATAATATGCATTTTCAGTTTGGTAGGAATTAATTTAGAATTTTTGCCCGGGTGGCGGCCGAAGCCTATTCTTATCGATTTTAGGACCACCAAGAAATCCTTAACGTGCGCAACTTGCACACGAAACCTCCGAGATTTTTCGCCCTTATCCGAGAAGGCTAGGTGTTAGACCTTACCTGTCCCCGTGGTTTTATGCACCCCGCATAATTTAGCAAAATTTGATCGTATTTTTGCATTTTTTTCTTATTTTTTTTCCTTTATCATTCTTTGATTCAATAGAATCGCATAATTTCACATTTTTGGGCTCAGCTTGCATAATTTCAGAATTTTTCTCGGCTGTGGCTGAAAGACAACAGTAAGAAGGAGCCAAAGAGTAGCAGTAAAAAGTAGAAAGGCAGCAGAAAGAGTCAGGAGCTCAGATGAAGGAGCAAAAAAAAGGGGGGTGGGGTAGGGGCAGAAAGTGGAGACGAAAGCAGACGACAGAACATGGTTAAAGAGCAAGAAAGGAGAAAATTTTAGGTCGCTTAAATTAGGTCTCGATCCCAGGACGTATTGAATGAGAGGCGATCACACCGTAGGCCTACCTCTAGACCACGAGAGCCTCCTCCTATTATAACTCCTATATACTTTATTGATTTGCCACAGTGTTGAGGTGACAACTTACAAGTGTTTACAAATTAATTACTTTGAGATCTGTCTTAAATCTCTTATGAGATTTTTTCACAGTTCAAACGCTATCCAACTCGTATACACTCCTGCCCCCCCCCCCCCCAACATTTTCCCATTTGATAATGTGATTGTGATGTACCCCCATTCAGGAGGTCACTGTTTGCACCGGGATATGTTATAATTATTTGAGTAAGGTAGGGCCTACATTTTCTTGGTGTAAAATAAGTAATTGAAATAACTTAGAGAGAGAGAGAGAGAGAGAGAGAGAGAGAGAGAGAGAGAGAGAGAGAGAAAGAAATAGATAGAGGAGGAGAGAGAGAGAGTAGGGAAGGTTTTAAGCTTTCGAAAGGTACAAGTTTCAGCTTTACAGCACTAGCAACAGAATGAAGTCGTTGAAGTGCCTGCTTTCTTTTTATCATTTTCCTTCCTTTATAATGGCCACTGTTGTGCTGTTGGTTGTAAATTTAGACAGAGTCTTTGGCAGGACAAAGCTCAGGTGTGGTATGCTCTCTTTCCCATCGAACAATCTATAGCCCTTACCCCTCCTCCTTCTTTTCTTTGTTTGTTAGTCTCCAACAACACCTCTAAATCTTAGGCACTTATATGTCCTAATTGCATTGCAAGTTCCATTAAACTTTTTACTCAATTTAAAATTAAGAAAACAAGGAAAAACATAACGTTCAAATCAACAGCGTTCTTTCTTATCCTTCTGTCACATTCTGTGGAGATTTCCCCCTTGTCTGGCATCTTAACTGCAGTCCAAGCACTCGGCTTCTTTAACTTTAAATGACAGACAACAATTTCTTTAACTACTTGGTCAAATTCTCAGCATTTGTACGACCTTGAGTCAAGAACCAATGGCTTCTATTCTTCATGTTAAAGTCATTACCTCAAGTTAGTCCTTATACACTGATGTCTTTATCGAGTATCTCGGTCTTTCCGCCGGGGTGTTGTATCCCTCTCAGCCAGGGTTGGCCCTGGCAGGCAAGGTTGCAAACCCTCCTCCTAAGTGATCTAAATTGTGTTGATGAGGGCGTAAAAATACCTACACTTTAAAAAAAAATTAAAGTCCTCGTACTGAATCATTAACAGAAGATGACCAAAAAAAATATCAGTATCACACTCAAAATATTTATTCCACACAGAGCCATTTTCCAAAACATACATCTTTTGCAGTCTGTTTTCAAATTTTCTTCACAGCAAACTAACACACATGTTCCAACAAATAAAACATTTTAACAATTCGCAACACAAAAATTATGATCCTTGACTTTTACCCTTCCAATTAATGATAACATGATGTACTCATCACTCAAATTCTAATCTGTACAGTCCATACATACATGCATACAATAAAACACTCATGGCGCAATTTTCAGTTCATCTGCAGCTCATCCAGAATATCAGTAAGCATCATAACTAGTGCTAACAAGATACAAAATATTTTTCACTCATTAACAATAATCACAAAATCTGTCATCAACAGACCTTTCTTTTCTTCTTTCATGAAAAACTACTTTATCTTCCACATTCCATACAAAAGATACAAGACTTCAAGACATAGACAAGTGCTCAATGAAAATTAATGTCATAATAATTTCTGATAATGTCATTTTACGTATGCATGTCATTCATGCATTTCGGATAAGGGGTTCAAAGAAAACTTATTTTGCATTGACAGACAGAAGAAGGGAAAAAGAATTCTGAAAATTACTACTTTGATAAGAATGTAATTTCCCCTGAAGCTACTGGACTGGACTGGATTAAACAGGATAGACGCTAGATCTTTCTTTGAAAAATAGCCCAGGGCTTTTCAAAAGTAAATCTCGAAATGTTTATATGATATTGATAATAGCATGCAACAGCAGATAACAACATTTGGCATGTTGCAATCACTACATTTCCAAAAGTCTTGTCACTGTCCTATCTTCAACTAAAACAAGGGTGTGCAACATTTTTTTATTTGAAGTCCACTTTCGAACATTGGCACAATTTCAGAGAGGGCCAATCATCATAAGAGTGAGAAATCGAGTAACACCATTTAGTTACAAATATAAAAATGATCAACCAAGGCACACACTGCCAAAGCTTGCAGTCTGGTTATGGCCCACTGGCCGTCTGTTGCTCACCCCTGAACTATAACAAAACAACACAACCATGATTTTTGATTCTGCTGAAAAAAAACCCACTCCAAGAAGTGAAGAAAGTATCACAAGCCATGCCACAGATCAGCTTTCATCAGTCAGTTTTTCTTCTCAAAAGGGTCAGTCCACACTTTCATGCCTGTCAAGTAAAAAAAAGACATTATATTGCATGTATCCAAATGTTAATTTCAGTGCATAGCAAAAGAAATTCCAAAAAGATCATGATCACATCTGTACACCAAAATCTAACATACTAGGCAAATAACTGTCCCCATGGTTTTATGCACCCTCCATAATTTAGCAAAATTTGATCATTTTTTGGCATAATTTCTGATTATTTTCTTTTATCATTCTTTGTTAATTAAAATTAACGGAATCGCATAATTTTACATTTTTGGGCTTAGCATAATTTCAAAATTTTTCTTGAATAAAACGACGGGGAAAGAAATAAATATAAACAGCACTGTAACCATACAACACAATGTGACATTAAATTTCTGAGACTCTATGAGAAAAATCGCAGACTGAACTTCTTCAATTCTTTTTGAAACAAGAAGAACCTGAATAAAGTACAGTATAACACGAATAGGTCGAACGCAAAACAGAAGACTCGAAATCATGCATCCATCAAACTGCCTGCGGTCCCATGGTTCTTCTTCTTCTTTATCTATGTAAGATATCCCTTGAACTACGGATCCTTTAAACTACCAAGGCCGGTCCCGAGGAATTCGAGCTATCCATGTTATACTGTATAAAATAAATTCAAAACACCTTTAAAAGAACAAAAGCTACTAAAGTAAAATTTTTGACTCCTGCATAACAAGTTCACCAGCCCCATACCGAATACATGTTGTCCTACTGTATTTTTGATGGAACAAGTTCACTATACTACTATGCTACATACATATTAAATTATTATTATAAGACCTTACTACAATACGGCAAGACCTTTTTTTAAAATGTAGAGCCCCTTTACATGCACATCAACCACACGTGTACTATGTATAAGAGTGAAGAAAACAGAAAATTAACTTTCACTGCAGTCCATGAGAAACTTCGATCCCAACAAAATTATAATACAATAAAGTGGACGTCTAAAACAAGAACAAAATAATGTGTGAGATGTCCCAGAATCAAAATGAAAATGTCCATATTTCAATAACTATCAAAGTTCAAATTAATATTTCTCAATCCTATAAAAGGTTTTAGTAGTTTCACGGAATTTCTGATTTAGGTGCCTCATTAAAATACATAAAATGAAGCTTTCATTTTGCTCCAATTATCAAAATAGAGATGGCAACCACTATACAAAATTGGTCAAAAGATTCGGTTTCTTCATGCAACACAGAAAAAATCCCATCAAAATTTATGTAAAGCATAAAAGATTCATAGTGATAATGTTTTAAGCAAGTCAATGGTCTACCATTGATTTAAAAAAATTTTTTGGGGTAAGTATTTTAAGGTGCTCGCAACTGCATAACGTCATATGAGCACGCAGGATACATTAAACATTTTTCAGTTGGTAGGAAATTTTGAATTTTTCAAAGGTGGCGGCCAAAGCCTGGCTTTTAGAACCACCAGGGGAACTTTAACATGTGCACCTTGCACACGAGACTTCCAAGATATTTCGCCGTTGTCCTAGAAGGTTAGGCGTAAATCTTACCCATCATAAGATCAGGGGTGAGGATGAAAGACAGCACTGAGAAGTAGCCAAGGACTGCTACAGTAGAAAGGCTGCAGAAAGAGTCAAGAACCCAGAGGAGAGGGCAAAGGGGAGGGGGCAGAAAGTGAAGACGAAAGCAAACGATAGAACATGGTCATAGAGCAGGAAAGGAGGTGAAAGGAGAAAATTTTAGAAGAAAATTTTCTGGTTCTGTCTGGATTCAAACCTAGGACCTATTGAACGAGAGGCAAACACCATAACCTCTTGACCACGAGAGCCCCCTTACCATTGATGCAACTCATTAAATCATACAAATTTACACAACGAACAAGTTGGAGGCCTTCACTTGTCTGCCACTACCCACATAGAAAAAAACAAACCCAGTACTGAACACATTGAAAAACTCATTCGTGATGACAGGAAGCTCAAAATTCATGACATTTCTTATGCTCAAGATCTTTTTAAGAGTTACTTTTGACGAGCAAGAGTTCTACAACAGTTGGCAGATTGATGACCACAAGGCAGAACCCACTGATGAATGCACAGCATTGTTTTTGTTTTTTGTTTTTGTAAAGTGTTTTACGGCGCTCGCAACTGCATAGGTCATATGAGCGCGCGGGACACACCTAATATTTTCAGTTGGTAGGA